AACTTTAATTTGGAGCAATCACACCAATGCTCTTTACTTTGCAACCAATTACATCAACTAATTAATAGAATTGGTGATGTGGTTGTTAAAAGTAATGAAATCTCCACGTATTATGCCGAATCAGCAAATTAAGTTTCATCAGCGATGATTGATTTTACGCTTTACTAGTAATCAGGTCACCGAACTTTTAATTCAAGGCAATCACACCATTAAACTTCACTTCCAATGTTCTAAAAAAATTATTTAAATGATTTAAAAACCATTAAATAGAATAATGCATATCAAGCCATCACAATTATAAATATTATAGTTACTTAATAATTTCTAGAACTAGACATTTCAACGTTTACATATATTTTTTGTTAAATTCTTACAAATATTATGCACATACTTTTTTGTCTCATTTTATTTTGATATTAGAGTGGACATAATAAAAATTAAGTATAATTAAGTTTAGTAAGTGATTTTTGTCTATATATAAAAAATTTAAAGAATAACATACTTTTGGTATATTTATGTATCTATTTATTATTAGTGGTTCGCCAACTTTACGAAATGCTAGTTGGAAATTTTAAAATTATCTAATTTTAAAACTTGAAAATTTTCTGGTTGAAGAAATTATTAAAAACTTTGTAATTAGCAAAAAGCACCCATACCTTTTATTTTTTGACATTTTCACCTTTATTTTCACTTTTCATTGTAAAAATCATCGTTTTCATCCAAATTATCAATAAAAGTGTAAAATAACAATATACCCTCTTATTTAAATAAAACAAAAAAAGTGAACAAATTGTAATCACACTCACAAACTTTTTTAAAAAGAGCAATTGAGTTCAAATAAAATGTTAAAAAGGTAATTAGTACAAAATGTTCATACATTTCAATATTATTTTGATAAACGTCCATATTTTTCATTTTTTTTGGGCATTTTCACAATTATTTTCACATTTTCTTGAGAAAATCATCATTTTCATCCATTTTCTCAATTAAACCTATAAAATGATGAACATACCTTCATATTCAAATGAAACAAAAATGAAGAAAAGAAAAATAAAGAACAAATTGTAATTATACTACAAAAATTATCAAAAAAGTAAGAAAATGTCCAAATAAAATAATTAAAAAATGAAAAATAGAAAAAAAAACATATTTTTTAAAATTATTTATTTGAAATTTATTTGTATTTTTTAAAAAAAATTTGAGAGTATAGTTGCAATTTGTTCTTTACTTTCGTTTTATTTAAATATGAGGGTGTATTTGTCATTTTACAATTTTTAATTGAAAAAATGGATGAAAATGATGATTTCTACAATGAAATTTGAAAATAAGGGTGAAAATACCAAAAAATTGAAAAGTATGGACGTTTATACAATAATATTGAAAGGTAAGAACATTTTATACTAATAACCCTTTTAATAATTTATTTGGATTCATTTGTACTTTTTAAAAAAAGTTTGACAGTATGATTGCAATTTGTTCCTTAATTTTTCTTTCTTTTCTTTTCTTGTTTTATTTTATTTAGGAGGGTATATTTTTTATTTTTTATTGAGAAATTGGATGAAGATGATGATTTTCCCAATGAAAGGTAAAAATAAAGGTGAAAAATGTCAAAAAAATGAAAGGTAAGAATGTTTTGTGCTAATTACTCTAAAAAATTATAGCATTTATGATTTTAATTGTTGAAGAATTTTATATATTTAATGATCTTAAAATATATAAAATTTTAAAAATCCTTTCCTTAGAAAATTGGAATTTAAGTTCAGTTACATGATTGCTTCAATTTAAGTTCACCGATCTGATTGTAAGTAAGGTTAAAGTTCAGTAATGATCCGTGAAATGATCCAAAAATAAACACATTCGCATGTATTCATTAATGCATGTTAATGTAGTTGGGTTGGACCACAATTTCACATCATCTAAAGTAACATAACCAATGTCGACACTCATATTCCATGTCGCCATAAAGGGAGTAGGGACGCAACAACGAAACGACATGCCAACTTATGTAAAACGCCATAGCATCACACTCGATTAAATAATTGTATTTAATGGGCCCACCCTATCAAAAATGTACCTTAATGATATTTGACTTTTTGGCATTTCCCACAAGACACGGCATTCAGCTTATAAAAGAAATGCGCTTTATTCTCTTGCCTCTCTTTAAATGACACCATTGTAGGGTGGTCAATAAATTAGATTTTAATTCGAATTCGATCTCAATTTCATGATATTAGTGAGAGATGAATTTTGAATTACAATCTGATAATTTGATTAGGATTTAAATTTGATAATTTATTAATTAAATGAAGCAAATATGGATATAAATCAATCTGATTCGATAGCAACCTAATCTAATTTATTATAATAATATAATATATTTAATAAATTATCGCATACTTTATTAAACATAAATTTTCCATTTTCAAACTTGTATTATACTTTATAAATAAATTTTAAATAATAAATAAAATTAGATTATAGTATAATATTGTCAATTAAATATTTGAAAACATTTAATTTTTTTAAGAAAAAACCAAGAGAATAAGAGAAAATAATAATAATAATAATACAAAAATTCCATTTTTAAGAAAAATGATTTTATTTTAACCCCCCCCTCCGGTGTCAAAGCTATTTCTCATCCAAATAATTAAGAGTCCGTTTGATTGTAAAGATAGAATTTTTGTAGAAAGAAAACGAATTACAGGGAATTGAATTGTCTAGAAATTGTTTTACTGAAAATTGTCAATTAATGGTATTTGATTAGTATAATTTTTGACCTAAAAAATGTTGAAATAAAAGTGTCTTTTGATATTCGTTTGACTTTATTTTTCATGAAAATTATTAATTTATGGAATATCCACGACTACAATTATTCATAGAATTTGTTTCCATTGCAATAAAAATATATATATATATTCAAAAATATCTATATTTTGGTGTTCGTTTGACTTCATTTTTGATAAAAATTATCAATTTAAAGGATCTTTTACAATTATTCATAAAATTTATTTCCGTTGCAAGAAATAAAAACGAAAAAAAAAGTTGCATGAAAAATCAATTTCCACCGACCCCATGAAAAAGTGAATTCCTCGAAACCAAAGAAAAGCCGATCTCGTGAGGACAAAGCTAGAAAACCAATTACTTGAAAAATTTGACAAATCAAACACTCAAAAACATGAAAAATGGAATTTCATTTTCAAGTTCCATGAAAAAAAAAAAAGGCTATTAAATAGGTCCTTAGTTGATTAAAAGAATATATTACTTAAATCGAGAGAATCTTGGAAATTTTAAAAGAAAAAATGTCTAGATACAATTTCTTTAGTTTGTAACTTCGATAAAAAAAAAAATTAAATATATATTCAAACTATAATAAATCATATTATTTATGCAATATAGAAAAAACTCCACTCGTTCAAGAATTTTCTTTAAAGGGATATATTAAAAATTGAATTGCATTTTTTAAAATTACAATAAAAACGAGATTAAAGAGCAATGATAATTAACTGGATCAAAATTTCATTAATTTCTCTTCAAAGAAAAAATACAAAGCAGTAATTCCATGGCAGTCCACAAGGCTTTTCAAAAAAGAAAAAAAAGAAAAAAAAAAAAGCAAAAAGTGGAAAAATAAAGCCAATAATATGGAAATTCAAGATAAAAATAAAATAAAAATATCCTCGATGTTGAAAGTCAATCTTCGAATCCAATTTTTTCCCAAATTGCATTACGAACCCTACTAAGATCTCTTCCCTTTAGGGTTCTCCCAATCCCTTCGTGCAACGAGAAGGAAGCGATCCTCGTTCTCGCCATTTGCCTCGCTAAAAACTCGTGCGGCGGAACGCGATCTTCCGAATCCTCACCGTCATCGGAAAAGTCATCCTCATTGACGTCCCTCCGGTGATTCTCCCTGTACTCTTCCTTCAGTATCTTCGACCAGTCGGGTATGTTCACCGGCAGCGATGCCGGTTCAGTGACGGCGACTCCCCTCGCCGCCTTAGACGGCTTTCGGGAGATTCTCGAACTGGCTTTCCGGAACTCCGGTGAAGCCGATCGAGCAGCCGTGTTCCAGATATCGGACTCGTCAAGCTCGAAGATCATCGAATCTTTGGTGAGTTTCTGCTCCGTCGGGAGGAATCTGTAGTTTTTGGATGCCGCCATTGATTATATTCACTGGTTTTTGCTTATAAAACTCTCTCTGTGTCTGTATATAAATGTATTTGTGCAATTTGTGATACTTTAGAATGGGGGTTTTGGTCTGCTTTTATAAAGCGTTGAAACGGATAAGGTTTTCTCTCTCTCTAATTATTATCTGTGCAACTTCGATTATTTACGGGACCCAATAATTGGACAAATAATAGACTGCCACGTGTATTTAAGTTTATCCAGTTGACGAATAAAATGTTTGTGATATAATAATATAGGCTATGTTTGAGCTACCTTTTAAAAAATATATATATATTTTTAAATAATAATTTGACATCAATATTTTTCAATAAAATAATATTATAATTAAATTCAAAATTTCTCTTTATTTTAAAAACGAAAAAAAAAGTTGCATGAAAAATCAATTTCCACCGACCCCATGAAAAAGTGAATTCCTCGAAACCAAAGAAAAGCCGATCTCGTGAGGACAAAGCTAGAAAACCAATTACTTGAAAAATTTGACAAATCAAACACTCAAAAACATGAAAAATGGAATTTCATTTTCAAGTTCCATGAAAAAAAAAAAAGGCTATTAAATAGGTCCTTAGTTGATTAAAAGAATATATTACTTAAATCGAGAGAATCTTGGAAATTTTAAAAGAAAAAATGTCTAGATACAATTTCTTTAGTTTGTAACTTCGATAAAAAAAAAAATTAAATATATATTCAAACTATAATAAATCATATTATTTATGCAATATAGAAAAAACTCCACTCGTTCAAGAATTTTCTTTAAAGGGATATATTAAAAATTGAATTGCATTTTTTAAAATTACAATAAAAACGAGATTAAAGAGCAATGATAATTAACTGGATCAAAATTTCATTAATTTCTCTTCAAAGAAAAAATACAAAGCAGTAATTCCATGGCAGTCCACAAGGCTTTTCAAAAAAGAAAAAAAAGAAAAAAAAAAAAGCAAAAAGTGGAAAAATAAAGCCAATAATATGGAAATTCAAGATAAAAATAAAATAAAAATATCCTCGATGTTGAAAGTCAATCTTCGAATCCAATTTTTTCCCAAATTGCATTACGAACCCTACTAAGATCTCTTCCCTTTAGGGTTCTCCCAATCCCTTCGTGCAACGAGAAGGAAGCGATCCTCGCTCTCGCCATTTGCCTCGCTAAAAACTCGTGCGGCGGAACGCGATCTTCCGAATCCTCACCGTCATCGGAAAAGTCATCCTCATTGACGTCCCTCCGGTGATTCTCCCTGTACTCTTCCTTCAGTATCTTCGACCAGTCGGGTATGTTCACCGGCAGCGATGCCGGTTCAGTGACGGCGACTCCCCTCGCCGCCTTAGACGGCTTTCGGGAGATTCTCGAACTGGCTTTCCGGAACTCCGGTGAAGCCGATCGAGCAGCCGTGTTCCAGATATCGGACTCGTCAAGCTCGAAGATCATCGAATCTTTGGTGAGTTTCTGCTCCGTCGGGAGGAATCTGTAGTTTTTGGATGCCGCCATTGATTATATTCACTGGTTTTTGCTTATAAAACTCTCTCTGTGTCTGTATATAAATGTATTTGTGCAATTTGTGATACTTTAGAATGGGGTTTTGGTCTGCTTTTATAAAGCGTTGAAACGGATAAGGTTTTCTCTCTCTCTAATTATTATCTGTGCAACTTCGATTATTTACGGGACCCAATAATTGGACAAATAATAGACTGCCACGTGTATTTAAGTTTATCCAGTTGACGAATAAAATGTTTGTGATATAATAATATAGGCTATGTTTGAGCTACCTTTTAAAAAATATATATATATTTTTAAATAATAATTTGACATCAATATTTTTCAATAAAATAATATTATAATTAAATTCAAAATTTCTCTTTATTTTTTAACTACATATTTTTCATTAGTACACTATTCAAAAATACATTGTCAGGAATATAATTTGACTCAAACAAGGGCATAATAAAGTTTTAGTGTATGTTTACCACTCATTTTTATAAAAAAAAAAAATAAATTTTAGAATAGTAGACTGATGAATGATGTATAGATAAAAAATAAGAAAATTTTTTTGATTTATATTTAATATTATCTTAATAAAAATATTTGGCTAAAAAACAGAGAGAAAGGCATCTTTATAAAAATGAGAATAAAATGAGAACTTAACTACAGCTATAAAATCAAATTCATTAAAAAAATACTGCATGGATTTTATTGGATAAATCTCCGATAAATAATGTTATCCACACAAATCACTTGAAATTGGTTAAGAATTAAGAGCAATAATCGCAATTAATTATCTAAAACGAATTTAGGTTATCTGTTTTAACTGTAATCCGTTCCTATACTTCCACCCTTAACGACGAAGTGAGGATGAGAGGAAGGGGCAATTTGGGAAAAACAGTATTTATCGTTTTACGAGTGGCCTTCAAAATTTTGTCGCAATGCACCTGGTTCAGGGCCCGAGATGTGGCGTCCAGTAAAAGCAACACGTGTCCATCATTTTCTGAAATGATGCCACGTTGCGTCGGATAAGGAGTTGTGATGATGATCACGTGAAGTGGGGTCCACTTAGTATAGTGATTGGCTCGGGCCAGCTGGTCTATTACTCTATTACTCTATTATATGTCCTCATCAATCTAATGGATGATAAATTGTTGTTTCAATTTATCGTCTCGTTTTTGTCCTATTATCTGAACGTATCGTACTGCTGGAGAAATTAATTATTATTAATATTCTGGGAGCATATTATCGTGGGAAGAAATTCTGGGAATTAGTTCAACTTTGAACAGAATATCATGCTTTTGATATGAATGAGTATTTTGGTATCGGGAGTACGGTATAAAGCTAAATAGTATTAATCAAAAATAATTCTTTGTTTTTAAGGTCCTCCTTATTTGAGATTATAAATTTTGAAATAGTATTTTTTTAAAAAATATATAGTTAATAAAATGAAAAAGATTTGTAATTATGTGTAATATGATTTTATCGCAAAATGTGTGATTGATAATAAAAGAGAAAAAATTAAAAAATAATTATAATGGGGCCAAACGGGGTTTTAATATTGTCCGATGGCTTTATCGATCTTATTCGTCGGTATTATGATGTTTAATTAATGAGTTAATTATTTTTAATATTTGATAATATTTAACAAATCATTTTTGAAACTTTTTCTTGAGTCAAATGGACTGAGCAGGCCAATCCATGACAATTTGCCAATTTTGAGTCGAAACAAGTTTGCCTTGACCACTATGCTTTATGATGGGTTCTTCCATTGAACTTGTATGTGCCCTAGAATATATTTTGTAATAATTATTTTTTGGATAATGTGTGATAAAAAAATTCAAAAGAAATTTTGAATTTATGTATAAAATTCTTGTATCGGAAGAACTTATTATTCAAAATAAATTATTACAAAATAGGTTCAAGTATAGTTTTCCAATTTTAATTAAAATGCTTATCTAAAGGGAAAATAGCACCTCGGAGTCTCAATTCTCAAAAGTTTTTAATGAATGTGAGCACATATTCTCAACTAAGTTTATTGAATAATGATGTTTGTAAGTAGGGATGGCGGTGGCCAATGGATCAGGTTCGAGATGGGGTGGCCCGGGACCCAACTCATAATTCCCTTTTTTTCCCCAACAAGATCAATATTGTTGGACACAGTATCCGAATCCAACACTTAAAAAGTTTAGAACTAACATGATGGAAGTCTAATTCTACAGTTGGATGGACCATGCACTATTTTGCTTTAGTAAAAGATAACCATTTAAATGCAGAAGTCTTCGAAATGAAAAACAGAAGTGATAAACCACTAATTCATCTAATAAAGGCTCACGATCGTGTAGTAGATGTCTAGACTAGAAAGGCTCACTTATTTGTAAAATGACAGCCAACAACCAAGGAATTAACCCCGTAAACTTTAGAGAACTTCATAAATGTTGTAACAGAAAAAATAAAAAATAAAAAAATTTATTAAACTATTTGAAGAGGAGACTCGCTGTATGCCCATGCTTAAAGTCAGCCGCCCTACAATAGGGGGGCGCCACTTCCTCCCCCTTATTTAGCCCGGGAAATACATGAAAATAGCCTATAGAAAAGGGTCAGTTCTTCCAAAATGACCTTTGATCAATTTACATACCTAAAATACCATTCATTTAGATATTACATAACAAGTCATTATAATATAGAAATTTTCTAATTTAGTCCTTAAAATTAAATATTACTTGGATTTTGATAGTTTTTTTTAATTATTATTTTGATTTATATGATTTGTGTTCCTTCTAAGTAGCCCCCTAATTGGTATCAGAGCCATAGAGATCATGAGAAAAACCATAAAAAATAGATTACCTAAAAAAATAAAAATCTTTAGATTTAGGTTAACACATAGATTTTATATAAATTTAATAAATAATAGATTAATTATTATAAAGTTAAAGGAATATTTAGATTATACATCTTTATAATAATAATTAATTATAATATACAAATATTTAGATTTACATCTTGATAAAAGCATAGAGATCATGGAGATTAAAGTAAGGAAAATAGATAATTATTGGCATTTAGAAGAAGAAAGAGGAAGTTATATATTTTTAAAACCTATTCATAATAAATTAAAAATAATGACACTAACAATAATTAAAGAATTACCTAGAGAAATAAAAGAACAAATATTAGAAAAATTAATAATAGAAACAATAGAGGAGATATATATATATATATATATATATATGAAAAAATTATTAATATATATAAAGATGAAAAAATTAATTTATATTACGAAGAGAAATATGAGTGCAAGTGATAATACAAATTTAAAATTAAATAAATCACTTATAAAAATGGAAAAAATATAAGAAAAAATACGAGATACAATGTTAATACCAGAAGGAATAAGAGTATTAAATAAAAGACAATTAACAAAATTAAAATGTGAAAGATTAAGACTTGAGAGTAAATATTTCAGTATAGTAAAAGAAGAATTAATAGATGCAGATATAGCCAATAGAAGATTTGGAAAAATAATAGATTAAAAAAAAAGATAAAAGATGTAAATTAACTTATATATTTGAAAGATGATTTTAATATGTCAATAAATGAATATATGGAAGAATTAAAGTCATTAATAAAAATGTTAATAAATGATATACAAAATTTAAGAAATAAAGTAAGAGAAATAAGAAATGATATAAATATATTAAAAATTGAAAATTAGAGAATGAAAAGAAAATAGATAAAAAAAATTAATAGAAAAATAAATGACTCGAATAGGAAATAAATATATTGAAAAAGAGAGTGTAATAATAGAAACAGAAAGTATGAATTTAGAAAAAAAAACATATTACAAAAAATATTAGAAAAAGAAGAATTTAGGGAAAAAATATTAGAAAAATTAAAGTAGAAGATAAAGATGAATGAGGAATTAGACTTATAGAAAATTTTGATTAATTGAGTTTAAGTGATATAAGTGACTACCAAGTTTTAATAAATATTGGAGGAGAACCTAATCCAATAGGAACTTCAAAACAAGAATTACAAAATTTAGATGAAAGTTATGTACTTATATATAATAAATCATATAAACAATTTTATGATAAAGTAATAGATGGACAACCACCTAAAGGAAATAAATATAAAGACAAATTTGAATTAAATGACAATTATGATAAACTTATTAATCATGAAAGAACAAAACTAGATTTAAATTGCAAAATAAATACTAGAAAAACTTATTAATTTGGGCAGATTCAATGATATTATTCTTTTTATCTAATAAAGATGACACATGAAAAAATACTGAAAAAAGAATAGATTTTTAATAGCATCCTTTGAAGGAAATGTTAAAAATTGGTGGGAATGAATAAGTAATGATACAAAAATATTAATAAAAAGAAATATACAAATAGAAATAATAAAATCAGATAGATAAGGTATAGAAAAGTTAGTAGAATATATTTTTAAGAGAAAATTAGATAAGAAATGCTGAAAGAGAAGAAATAAAAGAAAGAGACAATGCTAGAATTAAACTAATAAATTTAACAATATGTGATGTGTGTAAAATTAAAGAATATACTTGTGAATTTAGAAATTATTATTATGTTCAATTTTATAGTAATGAGAACCAAGAAGTATACCAAGATATGTATTATAATAAATTACCAGATTCATGGAGAATATATTTTAAAATAGAGTTTGAAAAATATGTTAAAGACAATGTTGAAATACCTAAAACTTTAGGTTCAAGAATAAAATTTTTATTTGAAAGGCTTGCATATATATGTCAACAAATACAATTAATGAAAAAATTAGGAAAACTAACTAGAATATATTGTGAAGATATGGAAAATTCTATACAGTTGGGATATAATCCTGAAAGAATGGTTAATAAACAAAAATAAAAAAATATAAAATATAAAAAAATTAGAAATTTTAATAAAAAATATTTAAAACCTAGAAGAATATATTATAAAAGAAAAAAATCCCATATGGTCAGCAAAAAAATAAAAGTTATAAGAAAAATAAAAGTCAATGTAAATGTAAATGTTGGAATTGTAGAGAAATATGTCATATAAGTCTTGATTGTGATAAAAAGAAAGTT